TCTCTCTCTCTCTCTCTCTCTCTCTCTTCTCTCTCTCTCTCTCTCTCTCTCTCTCTCTCTCTCTCTCTCTCTCTCATCTTCGCAAGAATATAACGGCACATCCATATTCCACTGCTTCCAGGTGGCGACGGTGAAGCACGACGTCATGGATCCTTTTGGACTCGTGAATCATCTTCTTCTTACTCCTTAATCATCCCTTATCTTCCGAATATCTTAGAATTCATAGCCAAGAAGGGGCTCGAGCTCATGGAGATTCTCTCTGGAAGTAACGCATCTTCAACTTGAGAAGTTAATCTTTGAACCTCAAGAAGCATAGCCCAGACGGGGCACGAGCTCATGGAGCAGTTTAGGTCCTTTAGGACTCATCATGCTCTTCTTCTCAGCTTTCATCTGAGAGTCATGGCCAATAAGGGCAAAGAGCTCATGTACCTTTTTAGAACTCATGAATCCTCCCCTTTAAATTAGGATTCATAGCCAAGAAGGTGTACGAGCTCACTCATGGATCTTCTCTGGAAATAATGCATATTCATCTTCTTTTAAAACAAAACAAAACTTGTTCAGTTTATTTTTCTGCATAACATAGTTTTTTTTTGGGAGTTTTTTTTTTTTTGTTTTTTTTTTGCGAAATCCTAGGGGTATGCACAAAATTCAATATGAATTCCCAGGATCTTTATTGCAGTCCATTTAAGTACAAGACCTGAGTGACTGAGTCATCAACCTCTGCCTTCACTTAGGGTAGTCTCCAACCTTCCCCCGATTAAAAGACACTAGTAAGTGAATGGTACTAACCCCAAGGACACAAGTAGGTTAGTGGTACTAACCCCAAGGGACACTAGTAAGTTAGTGGTACTAACCCCAAGGACACTAGTAAGTTAGTGGTACTAACCCCGAGGACACTAGTAAGTTAATGGTACTAACCCCAAGGAAGAGCCTTGAGGGGTTGATCAGATAAAACTTCAATCACAAAATTTAATCCCTTTTTTTTATAATTAATGTCCAATTTAGCAAAAATCTTCAAATTAATTAATGTGTCAAGCTTCAACAAGAAAAGTCTTCACTTTCGACCTACCCTCCAAGCAGGTTGCATCTCAAAAGATAGCATTGATATTGTATATTTAATTATTTTAATCGGGAGTAACCAACCAAGTGTGATGAATTACCAAGGAATATGACCATGAACTTGACATAGGTCTGCGGAAAATGAAACACCATAATAATACTACCACAAACTTCACATAGGTCTGTGGAAAATGAAACACCATTTATTATCGTCGGATTGGCTGACAGACGCACGCTGCTGTTTGACCGCTGAACTTTCAAGCTCTCTCTCTCTCTCTCTCTCTCTCTCTCTCTCTCTCTCTCTCTCTCTCTCTCTCTCTCTCTCTCTCTCTCTNTCTCTCTCTCTCTCTCTCTCTCTCTCTCTCTCTCTCTCTCTCTCTCTCTCTCTCTCTCTCTCTCTCTCTCTCTTCTCATATTTCCCCACAGACAGTCAGTTCTCTATGCCTCCACAGAATTCATCCTATCAAGTCCAGTCAAATTTAGAATAACCATAAGAAATCCACAATTTCAGCAAATTTGCCAAAATAAATGTTGGGATGAAAGCTTTCCTTAGCACCGACTGCTTTGGTTTGTTGATTGGTACTCAGATGATGTTGTTTATTCCAGAAATGAAATCTGGATTGAATCTAAGATTATTGTTGAACCAATCCAGCTCAGTGCTTCCCCAAGATAAAGTTCAGTGCTTTGAGGTCGAAGATCCCTCCTGGTAGGAAGCGGCTTTAGCAGGCATAATTAACTTGCAGATGGACTTTCATTGACTGGTTTGTCGCCGGGACTAGATCAGCTTCTAACTGTGCCGACTGCATGTGACAGCCCAAAATTGGTCGGCGGGACTAGATCAGCTGCTGACTGTGCTTACTGTGCCTACTGCTGTTTAATCAGATGTTGAATTACAATGTGAATGCCGAGAAGTTCGAAAGTAGATAGAATCCATTCAAAATGGACGTAGCCCTTCAAGCCTCATGGGACTCTCACCAAGCAGGCCCGAGAGGTGACCAAAAACAACAACCCATTGATGATTACCAATTTACCACCGCTGCAGAGGTCAGATTGTAAATGAGGGTTCAATGAACTCTTGTAACATCCGTGAAATTGACAAAAAAGAAAAAAAAAGTGTTGCTCTGTGACCTCTGTCACATGTTGTCACTGCTTGAGTAATCCTCTTTGAGTTTCCTATCCCAGTTCATCTGACTGACGTAACCTCTAACGGGAGTCAGTCGAAAAAGAGTGTGCAGGATAAATACCTGTGTGCTGGGATTTACTTTGAATCCCTACGATGGGGAAGATTACAACCATATGAGTATTTTATCAGAGTCTCATTCGTGCAGACTTCGAAATACGAACAGTGATGAAACAATTTTCCCCGCTCTCAACTTCTTTCTTGATTCTTATGAGGGCCCACTGCCCAGTTGAATAACTTATACAGGCTCAAATTGGGTATGTTTGATCCTGGTTAGACCCAGGTATAAGAGATCAGGGATCCATTAGAACCCCCTGGCAGTGCGTAGTTATGACCACTTGTCTACTCATTTCTGAATGTCGCCCAAGGTCCCGAGTTTCACAGCTCGCCAATCCACGCATCTGACTACATTCCGAGCCCAAATGTTTAATTTCTGAGAATAAGTGCTTTGGTTGACTGTTCCTCTGGCCTCAGCTCGTGGCTGGATGTTCGTGGTTTCTCTACTCAGCGACACTCCCTGCTTCACTGTCTAACACCTGGACGGTTAGACCCTCGAGATGAACCTGGATGTGGCTAAGGCCAGATCCCTGGCAACAATCATACCTCCAGGTCTCTCTCTCTCCCTCACTTGATGGCGCCGCCTCAAACTGTCACTTACTAGTACCTTTTTCACCCAATCTGTCTCTCTCTTTCTCAACCACTCGCACACACTGTCAGGGGCATGTACATAATGCCTCTCTTTGTCTCAACCTCTCAAGCAGTGCCATACAAAGACTCCGTCTATCTTGTCTCACTTCCTTTCTTTACCCCGTTGTCTCTCTTCTCTCACACTCTTTCTCACACTCTCTTTCTCACTAACCTGTTATAGCACTCACCAACGCTACTTGGAATCTTTTCCGCAGAAGAGCTGACAGTGTTGAAACTCGCAATCACTGCATCGGTCAATTATCATCTCTAAGTTAGTGTCCCTGACGACGCCGAGTCAACACTGTCGTAACCTACTAACCTGGATTCGAGCCATCTGATTACTCCAAGAGTCCGAGTCGCTGTGATCTGAATCTCTGCTGTGGAACCAATCAGAATAAGTGTCACACAAATATTGTCGTGACCAGAAAGCTGTTATCTGAATCTCTACGGTAACCGTGGAACCAATAAGAACAAGTGTCTCACAGCTTGGTGGGGCATGAGCGCGAAAAGGAAAAAGGATTGGTTTTCGGGCTTGAGGGTGGGAACTGGGAAAGAACCACTGCCCGAAGTATGGATAAGGCCGATATTATTATTTTGTTTTAGTTTTATTTTTATTTATTTTAAATTTGAAAAAAGTATAGTAAATAGTTTGCTGTATTATTTTTTCTGCATTGCGCCGCCAGCTTTTGTCCGTTGGATAAAAAACTTTTTTTGGCGTTGGCTGGGGCAAGTCGCGTGAGTGACGTACCGTTGGGGGAAGAAAAAAAAAATTCGTAGGAGGGACGGGGCTTTCACCCGCGTAGGTAGATATATTCGATGGAGCGGGAGTACTACTCCTCTTGACCTGAGCAGCAGGACAGAAGGGTTAAGCGCCGGTAATTGTTGTTCCCGGCGAGATGGGTGTTCTATTGCTGTGACATGTAAAGTCCTACGGACACCTTCATTGTATACATGGCATGAGAGCTGTTCGATCGACCTTGCAGTGGAGCTTGGGGAACGATCGAGTAGCGCCGCTTGGCACCATCGCCAGTGTGCTTTCCACTGTTTTGGGTTTCTCTACTTTTCTTTGTTTTTCGTTTGTCTTTTTCTTCCTTTTTCTTCTTTCTTTTTTCTTTCGTATTGAGCCTGAAGATACATCGGACAGTGGTTCTTTATCCTGGATAACTCTCTTGCTTGGATACCTTTTCTTCTCTTCCATGGTGCGGAGATCGCTCGGGTCGGGCTAAGACGTAATGATTTGAGTGCCTGGGGCTGGGCTCACGTGGCGGGCGCGACATGCTGTAGTGCTGATACGTGGATAGAGTCATCGTAAGAAGACTCACACGGCGCTGACATTGCTCAGTAACAAGGAGACGATCGGTTGATAGGGCTGGCATCACGCGAAGGGCGGAACATCGGACTGTGCCGCAGTGAGCTGATGTTGTGAACTTGATCGGAGGATGGATCGAACTCGTGGAATAGGTTGGCCTGGCACTGACACGTAAGACTGTGCCGGTGAGGTTGGTACTGATTGATGGCTGGGTCGCAATTGGAGGGTTGATCGGTGAACCACGTACGCGGCGTAGTAAAGATCTCGGTGTTGGTATAATACACCTGAGAGGCCGCGTGAGTAAAACCTCGAGCCGACAAAAAAAGGGGGTGTTGGTGAAATTTTGCGTGATCAGGAGTATGTAACTAACTTGGGGCTTGGGATGTACTTTGACTGCTGGCTTACGGGAAACGAAACACTCACCGCAGTGATTAGGGGCGTGTTGTTATGGGATACTCACATCAATAGTGAACCGGACGATCGGTTGAATCCGACACAATTGGCAGTCCGTGGGGTTGTGTTGTTTGGGATTAAAGCACGATCTGAGCATAGTAGAGAAAAAGGGATTAATCGTGGATAGATTTGGGTAATCGGATGGAAGGGAATTTGGTTGTTACCTTGTGATGAACCCTCGTGACGTGACATGTGGAGAGGGGACGGAGGTTTATTAGGGCATTTAAGTTTATTGACCTTGGGAATGCTGCACGGGAGCACGTATGCGAGCCCAAGGCCGGGGGCGAGGAAGGGGGAGGTGGTCCAATTGTGGCAGGTATTGGATGGAGAACACTATTCCTCCTCCTCCCCCACAAGTGGCTCAGCCCCCTGGTGCACAGTATCAACCTCCAATAGCTCACTGCCCGGCTCCAGGTAGCTTTTACCATCCTTCATATCCCCCGCTAGCACACCCGTTTGGAGCTCAGCCAGTGCAACCGGGTTGCGTTCCTCCTCCTCCTTCGGCTCCTTGGGGACTGACATGGCAGGGGGGAACATTTACAGTTGGTAATGGTTATTATAACCAAGGATTTGGTCGTGGCAATGGGAATAATTACTAACAGCCGCGCGCATTCTTTACCAGCGAGCAGACGGATTTTCAGGAGAAACTGAAACTGAAGGATGTAGTTGACAAAGCCGACGAAGCCAGGAAAAAGGACTTGGAGGAAATATCCAGGTTGAAGGCCATCAGAGAGAAGAGTGAAAAAAAAAAAGAAAAGGGTAAGAATGAGAAGAAGGCTGGGAAAAAGAAGAATGGTCGTGATAAAGAGAAAAGGAAAATTGTGGAGGATGGGAGAGAAGATGAGATGAAAAAATGGGTCGTTGAGAATTTCGGGAATTCATTAAGAATCTTGGCAGAAAAATTGGATGTTGTCAAAAAGAAATCCAAGACTACAGAGAGTGAGAGGGGGGAGTTGAAGTTGTGGAGGGCTGAAAAAGAGCTGAGCGAATTACGGGAGAATTCAAGTGTAGAGAAAGGCAAACGGGAACCGGTGTCACCAGTGCGTCCACGGACGAACAAGACCAGATCACGATCCAGTATGCCGAAAAAAGGCAGCAAAGGGAATAAGCCAGTCGAAGTGTCCTCTGACGATAGTGGGAAAGAGAGAGTTGTTGTAGTACAGTACCTGGGAGGGAAAATGGAAGACATGGCCGGAAATTTGAAGGAAGGAGCACAGTTGAAAGACCTTCTGCTGGAGATTTTGGCTGCAAAAGGGAAAGAAGCTAGCTGTAGCAATAGTGGAGGTAATCGAGACGAAGGAAAAAGAGCAGATGCGCTGGATGGAGGTGAGGGGAAGAAGGTGACGACTGAGGGGGATGAGGGCACGACGAAAGGAACAAGAAAGGAGGAATGTACGCTTGACCTATACTTCAAATATAGGATCGTGTACTATGATGCCATGCACTACACAGAGATCCAGGACATGTGCAAGAAGAGAGGGGTTGCTTACAGAAGGAAGGAAGCTGGGGTATGGGAGTTAGCAAGATTGGACTTCGAGGTGCTTTTGAAGATGGAAAAACCTGCAGAGAAAGAAGCGGATACGGACTCCAAGACCAATGAAGAAGAAGCTTCAGAAGAAAGTTCGAGTTCCAAATCGGAAAAGAGCCCAGACGAAGAAGATGATATTGCGGGAAACTAGGGGGGGCTAGCAAGCGGTCAATACTGAGATTATATAAGAAGCTCTGTCTACTTCGGGGAAGACAAGAGCCAGGGATACAAAAAGTAGTTGATTGTTTGCTGAAACTCTTGGTTCTGACCTTATGCTTGAGAGGGAATATGAATTGGGGAAGGGCATATGTAAAATATTGGTTTGACATGTGACCAACTGAAAGGGATCGGATCTTTAACGTTGATTCTTGTGTTTATGTCTTATTATCTCCTTTTTTCAAATTGACTTATGTTGGGAAGGTAAAAAGGAATCTTCATACCGTATGGAAAGAGCACATACAGTCGGCCAGAAAAACACCCAAGTAGAAACTGCATAGGTGGTTCGAGAAGGTGAGAGATGTCAACTATGTTACTCTTCCCATTTGGTTTGGAGATAAACATGCTCTAGCTAGCATGGAAGAAAATATCATTGGAACTAATAATCCAGGGCTAAATACAAGAAGATCAAACAAACTAACCAGGAGGAAGCCAAAAAGGAAAGCTAAGGAGAAAAGTGGAAATTGGGTAATAGAGAAGGTAATTTTGTTTGAGTGTGAGTAACTAAACATAAGAGGAGAACCTAATTTAATAAAAATTCTGAAGAAAGCTGGGAATCAGAAGTATCTAAAAATTGTGAATAATAAAGGGAAAAGGTGGTTAATTCCATGGGGATTAGTATAACTTATTTACAGAGATAGCATTGTGGAATTCTTGGGGAAGAAGTTTTTGTTAAAAGATGTCTGAGATTTTATTCAGGAAGGGGGTGGATGAAAGCTCATAAACTTGAAGAAGACCAAGAATCGAACCGAGGTCGCAAAAGTAGAACTCATAAATCTGCTGAGAGTCCATTGGAAGAGGAGAAATTTGTACAAAAGGAATCTGGATAAGTTGGTGGAATTAAACAGGGGGATTAAGTTAGTTAACACAATGAGAGGCAGACAAATCATTAGGGGGATTCTAACTAGAGTCACTAAGATTCTGAAACGTTTTGGGATAAATCCAAGATATAGAATTACAGTAAAATTACCTTTTTGTGAAACAATTGGAAAAGGGAAGGTACACGGGAAATTCAAGAAGTGGCTGAAAAAGAAGATGGAGCCGGCTAGCTTGTCCAACGTATTGGTTGGTAGGATGAGAACAATCTAGCAGAAGAGAAAGTTTGTCGAGGAAATCCTGCATAACCATCAGCGCTTCGCAAGAGGAAGTGGGTACCCCTGCACTTGCAAAGCCTTTGACTAGCCTCGTCATGAGGGGCACGTTCAAGTTAGACATGAAGAAGTCGAAGGGATACAGGAATTTGCATGTAATGCAAAGAACGTTCCTTTTCCTTGGAGCTTGCTCACGGGAAAGGAAATGAATATGGCATATAATCTGACACTTGAACCATTGAAGATAATGAATTGCCTAAGGGCTGATGAAAAATTCCAGATTTGTTGGAAGGAATTTGGGCTGAAAAAGCTGCAATTTAGGCATGGATGTGACACAGAATATGATTGGAATAAAAGAAGCATGCGCTGGGCTGGTTCTCTCCCCATTGAATAGAAACCCGAGAGCAACACTAATCGAATGTCCAGTCTTGTATGAAGAAGCAATGTCGAAAATGTACAATGACAATGGTGGTTACAAGAAGGTGAGTGCAGATGAGAATACTATTCTCAAAAAAATGAAAGTCGCCTATCAAGAAGGAAAGTTGACGAGGTTTGCGAAATGAGATAAAAAAAGGGAGAATAGAAGTGGCATACATTTTGTCGAAAGACAAAGACCTTAAGAAAAAACGACCGATTGTACCTTCCTTCTTAAACCCTACTAAGAGTGCAATGGGGTATGTAGCACAAAGCTTGAATTTTCTCATGAGAGGATTAAAAGTGAGGCACTTCAACATAAATGGTGCCAAGAACCTGAAGCAAATGATTGGACAGATCAATGAAGAAACAAATGAAAATTTTGGACAAGATGGTGAAATATGTGCAAGAACATACGATGTGAAGGAAATGTTTACTAAATTACCACACAAAGAGATTATTAGGGGCGTTGAATGGATCGTACAACATTTTAGGGACAAAGGGAAATGCTGGATACGGATCAAGACAAAAGGGAAAAAGGCTACATTTGGTAAACCACAAGGGGAAGTTGGATGGAAGTCTATACCACTATGAAACCTGGTAGCCATGACGAGATTCTAATTGGAGAATACCTACTTTTACTTATTGAAGCTATTGATGCAGCAGAGCGTTGGGATCCCAATGGGAGAGAGAACGAGTCCTCCTCTGGCTAATGTACTGTGCAGTTTTGCAGGACAACAATTTATCACATCACTTGGTGTTGATGCTAAATACATTGAGGGAGGGAGGTTCATTGATGATCTTCTCTTAATTGGCTGGTACAACGAAAAAACGACGGGAAGAAGGGAAGAGGTGGAACTCATCATGGATAAGATTGAGGAATGTTACCACTCTGATCTGCAGCTCGAGAGGACAGACAATGGAACAGGGGTGCTGGAATTTCTGGAGACAATGGTTGTTGTCGTGGATGAACCAACGTGGATTTACACCTTCCACAAGTTCAACAATTTGGATACATTATGGAGAGGGAAAATAGGAAGGTTTAAAATATTGCGGAGTTTCTACTCTTACACCCCAATTATTCAGAAATTTGCAGCTGTATTCGATACAATCTGCAGGGTGATCGACAACTCAAATACTAAGCTATCGACTTGGTGGAGTTTGACTACAATGATGAAGGAACTAAGCGTAATAGGATACCCGACAGAGTTGTTCGAAGCAGGGATAAAAAGAGCAGCAAAAAGGGAAGCGACCCCCTTTTGGGATGAGATGACTAAGAAACTGTTGAAATGGTTTGAAGATTGAAAGGGAGGGAGGGAGGGCCAAACGGGGTTAGAGAGGTCTCACAACTTTGTGGGTCATGAGAGATGTCTCACAACTTGGTGGGCCATGAGAGCGAAAAGGAAAAAGGATGGGTTTTCGGGCTTGAGGACGGGAACTGAGAAAGAACCACTAGCCGAAGTATGGATAGGACCGATATTATTATTTTGTCTTTAGTTTTATTTTTATTTATTTTAAATTTGAAAAAAGTATAGTAAATAGTTTGCTGTATTGTTTTTTCTGAATTGCGCCGCCAACTTTTCTCTGTTGGATAGAAAAAAATTCCGGCGCCGCCTGGGCAAGTCGCGTGAGTGACTTACCGTTGGGGGGGGGGGGGAAATTGTAGGAGCGACGGGGGTTTCACCCGCATAGGTAGATATATTCGATGGACCGGGAGTACTACCTCTTGACCTGAGCAGCAGGACAGAAGGGTTAAGCGCCGGTGATTATTGTTCCCGACGAGATGGGTGTTCTATTGCTGTGACATGTAAAGTCCTACGGACACCTTCATTGTTTGCAATAAGTGTCACACAAATATTGTCATGACCAGAAAGTTGTGATCTGAATCTCTACCATGGAGCCAATAAGAATAAGTGTCACATAAATATTTTCGTGACCAGAAAGTTGTCATATGAATCTCTACCTTGGAACCAATAAGAATAAGTGTCACATAAATATTGTCGTGACCAGAAAGGTGTAATCTGAATCTCTACCGTGAAACCAATAAGAATAAGTGTCACATAAATATTATCGTGACCAGAGCCAATGTCATAGAGTCAACTGTAGTAACGTGATAACAACTATTTCGCAAAAACGGACATTTTATAGTTTTTGAACGAAATTGAAACTCACTTATTTGGCCTTGGAAATGTCACCTTTTTAGCTCCTTAGGGTATCCTTTGGGTGTACCAGAACTTCAGTTGAGTCCAAATGGACCCTCATGAGTCATGATATAAACGGTGATATTATGTGGCCCAAATAAGTTGGTTTCAATTTCGTTCAAGAATAATAAAATGTCCGTTTCGACGAAATCATTGTTTAATAACATGTGTCGTTCCTGTCGTAGCTACTAACCAGTGTACCTTCGTCTCATGATACATGTCACATTTATCATAGCCAAATGTACACCCTGTAACGTTGCTGTAGTTCAATGTATCAGGTCACATCTAACGCTCAATCTCGTGCGGCACTCTACGACTCACACCCGCGCAGTTGCCGGCCCATAAAGAATAACACTCATAGGAAGTCTTAATAGAAGTAATAACTGGGCACAATCAGGGTTAGAATCGTGAAGGCTGTGATCAGGAAAAGAATTATAAATAATAAATAATTATTTGTAGTTTTTTTCATCATTTTTAAAAAATTTTCTCATTTTTTATTTTATTATTAAATTTAGCAAAATTTCAGCCCCATTTTTGAGCCAACTGGTCAGGGTGGAAATTGCCATGCGAAGGCTTGTGTCCGTATTCTCACTCAACGGCCAGCTGGTTCTAAAACTCGTAACAGACGAAAAAGGCGAACGTTAGGGCCGATAGAAGTGACACGTCCGATTATCAAAGTTTGAGGGTTAATATTAGTACGCAAAAGAGGAAAATCCAGGGTTCAACTCAAACACCCTAATTTCCCCCGATGCATTTGGCGAAAATATCCAAAGAAAATCATCTAGCCACTCGGTCGAATGTCATATTCTCTCCATTTCGAGTGGCCAACTGCTTTTGGCAGCCCGACAACGTGTTCCAAACGATGCAGGATTATGCATGGTATTCAGACACATGGGTGAAGAGGTTTGTGTTGTCAGCCATGATCCGATGACTTTGGAACTACTCCACGAGCGAACCTCTTGTGATGGGAGCGATTTATTTTGCTATATGCAAGGCAAACCTAGTACGGGGCCCCCCTAGAGGTCTCAATTTTTTTGTGATGAGATTTCTGAAATTTCAAATTTCTCAAGATTTTTGAAATTGGAATGTTGGCAGAATTTCATAAATGCGCACTTTTGCCTTGTTGTTTTATAGGTTTCCTTAGTTTTTTTTCATTTTTTTTTTTTTAATGTAGTAAGTATGATCTCCATTCTATGAGTTGGTGGCAAGTTTGGTTAAAATGACCCTTGGGTTTTGTTATAAATGGCAATGAGAATTTGTCTGAAAATTGAGGCCGTTGTAACTGTCTCTCATGCAAGGAACATGGGATCAAGACTTTTCTTCAAACAGACGAAGGCATTAGGTTAACAGTTTCGTTTTCAACCGATACGAGGTGGGACCGATACGGATTCATGCTCGACATGAATTGAATTTTATTCAGGTTTTATTTGGGATTTTATTCTGTTTTTTCCTAGGCTACCAGAGTGGCTCGGGATCACTTGCCCGACCGAGACAAAAACATTAAAAAAAATAAAAATAAAAAAAATATTTTTAAAATTAATTTTTTATTTTGAATTTGGTGAAGAATTTTGATGTGACGCTGAGGCAAAAGTTGTTCAGTTTATTTTTGTGCATAGCATAATTTATTTGTGGATTTTTTTGAATTTTTTT